GATCATTTCATCTTTATCATTTCTAATGACAGTGACTCCTCCTTTTTCCGGAACAACATGAACTGGGCTAACCCAAGTGCTATCTGAGATAGGAAAGATTATTCCAGCTTCTAAAAGCTTCATAATCTCCTTCTTGACAACATCCATGAGATTAGGGTTCAGTCTCCTTTGACTTTCGATTGAGTTTTTAGCATTATCCTCTAGATTTATCTTGTGCATACAAAGATCTGGAGAGATTCCAGGTATGTCATCAAGTGAATATCCTAAGGCTTTTCTATGCTTTCTGAGCTCAGTCAACAGCATTGTGGTTTCTTCTTCCGTCAAACCAGAGTTTATTTTGACAGGATAAGTAGAATTTGGTCCAAGGAAAGCGTACTTAAGTCCGACGGGAAAAGGTTTAAGCTCAACTTTAGGGGCTTTAAGCTCGCTCCAAGGATCGTTAATTGCTGCAGCAGTGTCTTTAGGAGGTGTAGGAATGTTTGTTTGGTCCTTAAGATCTAGATAGTTTAGAGGTTTCTTATAAGTTTCGGATTTATCAAGCATACGTGTGCACTCACTTGAAATTTCTTCAAGGAAATTGCGTTCGTCTTTTGCGGGTGAAAGCGTGACACTTAAAGGGTCGTCTAGAAGCAGATCTTCATAGACTTCCTCAATAATTCCGTCTAACTCATCAATCCAACAAATTTTTCCATCCAGAGTCGGTTTATCGAAACTTTTGTTCATGTCAAACTGCATAACTAGGCCAGCTAGATGAAGGTCGATTTTTCCTTCAGGAACATTGATTATGGCTCCGGCTGTAGATATGAATGGTCTTCCAAGAATAAGTGGATCCTTAGGTTCTCTTTCTAGTTCTAGAACTACGAAATCGGTGGGTATGGAACATTTTTCGATTTCGACGGGAACATCTATTAAGATACCTACGGGTTGTCTAACAGAACGATCAGCTAATACTAGAGAAATTTTAGTGGGCTGGAAAGTGTGGTGTCCTAAACGTTTTGCTATTGAAAGAGGCATCATGTTTATGCTAGAACCTAAATCACAAAGAGCACGCTCAAAAGCTACATCATTGATGGTGCATGAAAGTACGAAGCTTCCAGGATCGTTTTTCTTTTCAGGGATTCGGCTTTGCAGGATGGAACTACATTCATGGGTTATCATCATAACGCCTTCTTAAAGAGTTAAAGAATTTGTTAGAATACCCTTCATGTATTTCCTTAAAGCGGGAATCATAGCACAAACTTCTACGAAAGGTAATCTCACATTTAATTGATCGATCAACTCTTTCAGCTTAGCTTTTTCTTCTCTTTCTTAGGGGCTCTTAAGGCTCCAGGATATGGAGGTTTAGGTTTATAGACACAAGTTGGTGGAGGTCGAATTGGGTCTTCTCCGAGAATTTCCCGGGACGTATCTTCTCTTACTTTTTCTCCATCCTTCTCTCCTACCACTTCTTTTTCAACATCTTCATTCGTGATTATTTCTTTTTCCTTTTCCTTACCCTTTTCCTCATCTTCGGGATCTTAGGAAATTCAGGCTCTTTGTAAGCTAATCCACTCCTAAGTGTGATAGCTTTCACATGATCGGAGGGATCTGCTTCGCTTGAGTTTTCGAAAGAATTTTCACTTGGCTCCTTTTCAGAATGTTTTAAGTTTTTAGAATTAGTTTTGATCATTAGACTAAGAAGGGTGGAAAATTTTTCATTGAAATCTTCTTGCATCGTTTTTAGCTCAGATCTAAGATCTCTAATCTCTTGAGACCTAGATTTTTCAAGCTCTAGAATCTTTTTGTTTAGGTTTTCAGCTTCAAAAGAGGGAAAACTAGGATATGGAACAGGATTAGATTGAATAGCCAAGATTGGTTCGGAAGGTGATGTCCAGGCAAGTTCGGAAGAAAGTTTCCCGCGGTCAGAAGGCTCGCGACCGCGGTGAAACGAGTCTTGGCCGCGGTCAGAACCAGCACGACCGCGGTGAAAGCTTGCTTGGCCGCGGTCCGGATGAATGGACCCGCGGTGATCAGAAACGAATGGAAAGTCTTGAATTTGATAAACTTCTGCAGTGTTCACCATCCCTTGATCATAAGAATCCATTGGGTTGTCCCAACCTTCAAAGTTACACGTATTGTGTGCCTTGTTTGGTTGTTGCAATCCAAGATGACTCATTATGTGATGGAGACACTTTATAACTTCCGAGATCTCTTTTTTCTTCTCAGGAAGTGCAGAATTACCAAATGTTACTTGATTTCGGATGCTGTTTGCAAAATTTTTGATGAAAACGTGAGCATCTTCTACAGATCTAGTTGAGAAATCTCCATTACTTGCTGTGTCGAAAGAGTGTCGTAACTCTGGAGTTATACCGCGATAGAAGATACCCAGCAGGTATTCCTCGGTATATCCATGGTGTGGACAATCTCTTTGGTATTCCCTAAATCTTTCCCAAGTATCTAAAAGATCTTCATCTTCTTTTTGTTTATAAGTTCTTATCTTGTTCCTTAAGAGATTTGAACGATTTCTAGTGTAAAAACGATTTAGGAAAGCAGTTCTACACGCTGCCCACGTTTTTTGTGAAGCAGGTGGCAAAGATTTTAGCCATTTGCTGGCATTGTCTCTCAAAGAGAATGGGAAAAGACTACATTTGTGGTAATCCCCATTTGCTGTAATGGTTGCACATAATTCTTCGAACGTCTCGATATGGTCTATCGGGTTTTCGAATGAATAACCATAGAATTGATTTTGTTAATGGATATAGGGTACCTTAATTTCGGTTTTGCCATCCTTTGGTAAGGCTGGTTGAATAGCTCTTCGATCTCCCAAGAATTTCTCGAGTGAATCGAAACTTCCAATCAGTTCATCATCATCTTCATGTTTTGTTGATCCGATTAGCTCATTGTCATCATAGATCGGTTCTTCAAACTCGTCATCAGTCAGGTCATCATCGCTTGGATCACCATCCACACGATTTGGTAGATCACCAAGAGTCCCGGGAACATGTTCCCGGTCTCTCATCGCAGAGAAACCTAAAAAAATTCAAAAGAAAGAGTAAAAGTAAACAAGTGTTCTAATGGATTTAAGTTGGGATTCGCAACGAAACAAGTCAAAGTCCCCGGCAACGGCGCCAAAAACTTGATGCGAGCAAAAGCGTGGGGTTGTTTTTTTTGTTTTACTAAGCTTCAGGTTTTAGATTTATAACCCCTAAATGTCTGCAAGTGCACCTATGTGCGCTGTAGTACTTAGGGTATCGATCCACAGAGACTTAGTTGTTTCAGTACGAATTCACGGCAATGCTTAAATCAGACTAGAACTAAACAGGTTTTGGTTTTAGTTGTCACTAAATCTTAACTAGAAAACAAGTAAAAAGCAATTGAAAACAAATCAAGTGCAAGCAAGTAAAAATCGATTATGAATGAAAGCAAGTAATAAGCGAATGAAAAGCAAATGAAATCGAAGGTTGTAAACAATTAAAACAAACGTTTTGGCTCAAGGGGTTTCGTAGGGGTTCATGGACTAACCTATGTCGGTTTTAACCAAGTGATAAAGGTAATCAACTACGTATGTTCTAGAACTCGAGGCACGGAAGTATGAATAGCCTACTTTTGCAGCACTAAACAACTATCTCTCGCAACCCTGATCAGTAGGTTTCCACTCTGATCCTGGAAGGGAGAAGATGCAATAGCAGAACAAGACTCATCAACATTCACAACTCAACTACAGTTAGGTTTCCACTCCTATAGAATAATTGCTCGTTTCACCCTAGTTCAGACAATCAATGAAAGCTTTCGCAACATATCATATCAGATCGGCTTCTAAGTGGCCAGCAGAGAATCACGCAGTAAGATTAAAGGCAAATGAAGTACATCTAGAAGATTAATAATCCTAAATCTATTGATTCATAAGCAAAGACACATGAAATTCCCTTTGAACAATCATTTAAACCCAACTGGGTAACTACTCAAACATATTGTAACAAAACATCATAAACGAAATTGAAAGTGCAGGAAATTAAAGAGAACAAGGAAGAGAAACGAAGAACAGAGAAGCGAACGGAGGCGCGATGATTGCACTCCAGCGGCGGTCCTCCTTCTTCGAAGACGGCGGCTCCTCCTTAGGGTTACACAAAAATCTCTCTCTCTCCAAGTATGTCTAGGTTTCTGTCTCCCCTCTTTAGAATGACCTGAAGAGGGTATTTATAGCTTTTGGAGTGGTCCTGGACACTTAGGGCTTCAAAAATAACGAAACGAATTGATCTGGGCTTTAATTAAGTCGTCTGGAAAGTGAACGACCAAGTTTCGCAGTCGCGGTGGCTCTACCCACGGGAAAACAAGTGTTGGCCGCAGTCCCGGCACATGGCTCTCTTCCGGAACTGTATTTTCTGTCATTCTTGCATTGGAATTATCTGAAGATCTAACCGTTGGATTGTCTCCAAACCAAGTGCGTTAGAAATATGGCTGGATCCTTTATGTTGTCTCAAATTTGGGGGTGATCAGACGGTGAGAAGGTCTTCATCGCTTGTCATACTTCTGACGGTCTACATTTATCCAAAATTGCTCATTTGTTCCAAATTGCATATCTTTTGCCCAAATTTCCTGTAAAGTCTTTTGAAACTCTAAAACATTGAAAACACTTTAAAACCATTGAAAACAGAGTTAAAACACCTGCATAAGATACAATTATGATCTATAAAAGTGGTCAAAATACAGTGTTATCACCTCTAAATAAGTTTTGATCAGCATTATATAATCCTCAAGTAAAGAATCATCTAGAGGCACATTTGAGTCCACTCTTAACCGTGAAAGATGGTCGACAGCTCCATTCTCAATGCCTTTCTTGTCTTGCACCTCCATGTCAAATTCTTGTAACAAAAGAACCCACCTTGGGAAGCCTCGGCTTAGCATCCTTTTTAGTCATTAGGTACCACAAAGCCGCATGATTTGTGTGCACAACAACCTTTGAACCCACCAGGTAACTCCTGAACTTATCAAATGCAAACACAATGGCCAGCATCTCCTTTTCAGTTTGTTGCGTAATTCTCTTGAGCCGAATCTAAGGTGCAGCTTGCATAGTAGATCACATGCAGCTTCTTATCCTTTTTCTGCCTCAAGACTGCTCCTACTGCGTAATCAGATGCATCTGTCATCACCTCAAAGGGCAAAGACCAATCGGGAGCCTGAACTATCGGTGCACTAACAAGGGCCTCCTTGATCTTTAGAAATGCCTCCATGCACTGCTCATCAATAAGAAACTCAACCTCTTTGCAAAGCAACCTTGTTAGTGGCCGAGCTATCTTAGAAAAGTCTTTAATGAACCTTCTATAGAAGCCGGCGTGCCCCAAAAAGCTTCTTATCCCTTTAGCCGAGCTTGGAGGCTCGAAATTCACCATGACCTCTACTTTAGCCTTGTCGACCTCTATGCCCTTCTCAGAGACCTTATGACCGAGCACATTGCCCTCCTGTACCATGAAATGGCACTTCTCCCAGTTCAAAACCAGCCTATGCTTGTCACACCTTTTCAAGACCTGTGAAAAATTAGCAAGACAATCCAAATAGGAGGAGCCATAGACAGAAAAGTCGTCCATAAAGACCTTAACCTTCTCTTCAATAAGGTCAGAAAATATGTGCATCATGCAGAGCATTACATAGGCCAAACGGCATGCGTCTATATGCATATGTGCTGTAAGGGCATGTGAATGTAGTTTTCTCTTGGTCTCGGGGATCTATGGGTATTTGAAAGAAATCTGAGTACCCATCAAGAAAACAGAAGTAGGGATGGTTAGCTAGTCTCTCAAGCATATGATCTATGAATGGCAATGGGAAATGATCCTTTCTAGATGATGAATCAAGCTTTCTGTGATCAATACACATACGATGACCGGTTATGGTTCTTGTGGTTATTAACTCATCCCTTTCATTCTTTACCACCGTGACACCACCTTTCTTGGGCACCACATGGACAGGAGACCCCCATCTTGAGTCAGAGATTGGGTTGATTATCCCTGCCTCAAGAAGCTTGAGTATCTCCTTCTTAACCACCTCTTTAAGGTTCGGGTTAAGACGTCTTTGATGCTCAATAGAAGACATAGATTGGTCTTCTAGGTGGATCCTGTGGGTGCAAATATCAGGAGAGATGCCTCTAATATCGGCCAAAGAATAATCTATAGCTCTCCTGAACTTTCTAAGCTCATTTAACAATGCATGTTCTTCATGAGCCAACAGGTTATTATTGATGGTCACGTGATATGAAGAGTTTGAGCCAAGAAAAGCATACAACAGCCCTGTTGGTAGAGGCTTGACCTCAACAAGGGTTGCTTTTGTCTTGTCCCAATCAGCATCAAAGCTGCATTGCTATTTGACAGCTCCCTCGGGTTTGGCATTCTCTCGCGGTCTACCACTGCCCTCGGCTTGTGATGCCGCAGCCATGCAACCCCGAGGTGTCTCCCCTATTGTATTGGACCCTCTGATGTCCAAAACCTCGAGACCACTCTGCCTGAGCTCCAAAAATCTCGTCTCAGCTTTAAGTTCTTTCATCTGATCCAAGAATCGCTTGTAGACCTCACTCTCTTCATTTAAGAACCAGTGCTCACTTTGTTCTTGTTAAGACCACTTGTAAAGGGTCTTCTGTGTTCAGCTCTTCAAGGAGCTCATCAGCAAGCTCCTCCATGGTTTCGATGTAAAAGATCTGACCTCCAATGGTTGGTTTTTTCATCATTTCCTTCACATCGAACTTCATGGTTTCAGACCCAATGTGTAGCTCGATCATGCCTCCTCTGACGTCTATGATCTCTCCTGCTGTTGCTAAAATGGGTCTCCCTAAGATGATGGGATTAATCGGTTCTTCATCCATCTCTAAGACTATAAAGTCTGTGGGGATCTCAATCTCACCAATTATCAAGGGCAAGTCTTCAAGTAGACCAATTGGTAATCTTACTAATCGATCCGAAAGAACAAGAGAGATTTTTGCCGGTTTGTAGCTCTTGAACCCAAGTCTTTTAGCAACTGAATAAGGCATTAAGCTCACAGAAGCTCCCAAGTCACATAAACAGCTTGAAAACTTCAATGGATTGATTGCATATGGTAAAGTAAAGCTACCAGGGTCTGATAAATTTCTTGGCACTGATCTCCTCTGAATAATGGCGCTGCACTCATGACTCAAGATGACCATCCCTTGAAGCTCCTTTGTCTTGTTAAGTATCGCGTCCTTTAGAAACTTTCCAAGATGAGGTATAGCTAGAAAAGCATCTATGATCGGCAATGTCATTTGAGTATTCTCTAAGTGCTTTTCAAATACTGCCTTTGCCCTGTCTAAGATTTGTTTCTTGAATCGCCCCCTGGAAAAGGTATCTTAGGCTGATAAGGAGGTGGTGGAACATAGGGCTTTTCAAGTTCAGGTTCTTTCTCCACCTCTCTAGCCTTGTCTTTAACCGGTTCTTTCTCTAAAACCTCATTCTCTTGCTCTTATCTTGAGGCTGCCTCCCCACCGATCTGCTCATTGTCCTCAATGAGATTTTGCTTAGGCTCAGGAGTTTGTAGCTCTTTTCCAGTCCTCAATGTGATGGCATTGACAAATTCTTTGGGATTTGGTTCCGGTTTTCCAGATAAAGCTTGTCCTCTTGATGATGTGGAAGCTTGATTCTGCTTAAGCTCCCTGATATCTTGTTGCATGGATGCATACTGACTCTCGACCCTTTGTTGAGCCTGTAGTAACTGCTGTAGAAGCCCACAAATATCTGGTCCCATCTGACTCTGAACCTGCGCCTGCTGCTGTAACTACTGACCCATCGGCTGTGGACTGAACCCTGGTGGAAACTTATGTTGCTGCGGTTGGCTGTTGTAGTTACTGCCCTGAGCCGGTTGCTTCTGCTATCCATAGCTCTGTTGTTGCCCACCAAACTGCTACTTGGGCTGAAAAGAATTCTGAAACTGAGGCTTAGGAGCATAGCTTTGTTGATTTTGCTGAGCAGGGTACACCTGATCTTGAGGATTTGCAACATTGGGGTTGTGGTATGAGAGGTTCTGATTGGTTCCATAGTTGTTGAACCGCTGATACCTTTGTTGATTCCCAATATAGTTGATCTGTTCTTGTGTGAGACCATCCTCATTCACATTGTCAAAACTCGGCCCTTGCTCATCAAACTCGCCTACAAAGTGTATTGGCTTTTGTGTAGGCACAAGTAATTTGTCTAGCTTGTTTTGAAGCTCCCTGATATCTTTTTCCATTCTCAGCTCTTTGCTAGACTCATCAGTTCGATTAGCCCTGTCAAAATCTTCACCATAAGTATCGATTGACATCGCAAGATTCTCCACAAGCTCCATTGCTGCGTTTATCTCCTTCCCAAGAAAGTTCCCATTTGATGCTGTATCAAGTTGGTTCCTTATCTTTGGAAGGGGACCTCAGTATAAAGTGCTAAAAAGAGAAGCCTCTGAGAAGCTGTGGTGAGGACACTGATTAGTATTACTTATAAACCGTTCCCAAGCCTCTCCAAAACTTTCATTTGTATGTTGGGTGAAGCTTGAGATTTGATTTCTTAGCTTGGCCGTCCTGGAAGTAGAGAAATTTTTTGACAAAAACGCCAGCTTGCACTGCTCCCAGGTCTGTATTGTTCCCCTTGGAAGATTTTTCTCCCATTGATGCGCTTTATCCCCTAAGCTGAAGGGAAACAATCTCAGTTTAAAGCTGTCCTCTGATATGCCATTGATCTTGGTAAGATAACAAACACGGTCAAACTGATCCAAGTGCTCCAAAGGATCCTCCATTGGCAAACCGTGAAACTTGGAGTTTTGCACCATATTGAGCAAGGAGGTTTTAACTTCAAAATTGTTGTTTTGCACAGGTGGTGCTTGGATCCCTGATCTATACTGATGTGCATTAGCTCGGTCGTTCTCACCAACAAAAACTGGTGGAGGTTGCCTTTGAGCTTGCGGCTGAGGCTGAGGAACTTGCTGTGCCTGTTGCTCATTGCGGTGGGCTTACTGCTGGTTTTTCTGAGCCTGCCTTTCATTACGCTGAGCCATGTTTTGATTGACATAGGCCTGTTTTTCATTCCTGGTGCTCTGCTTCTTGAGCCTGTTGCTATATCCTCTCCTGATCAGCCATACCAAACCGTTCCTGATGCAAAGCCCTTTCTCTAGCTCTTCTCTCAATCAAGTTAATGTTGTTGTTGTAAGACTGATGCGGCTCTGTGCTTCTAGAGCGAGTTTGCATGTACCTGATCATTCAAAGACAGAACTTGAAAACGATCAGTAATAACAAGAATGATAAAGGCTTGATCTCAAGAACAAGAAAAAACTAATGCTATCCACAAATTGGCAACGGCGCCAATTGATAATTAAGACTTTTCAGTCTTGAAGAGGTATCAGTCCCTTGTAGTTGTAGTACAAAGGTATCAAATCCAAGCTTGTGGTTAAACACTAGTTTATGATGCTTATAACTTAAGTCAAGCGCAATCAAGAAATGGTTTTGATGTCTAGACTAGTTAAAGTGCAAGAAAATGAACAAAAATAAGAGATTTAACTAAGAAAATATGCAATAAAAAGACAAGTAAGCAAGATAGATAAGCAGTTGATGTATGAATGATGAGGCTGAGGTCTTAGACAGGATAAAGGACTGGGGTGCTTCCATACTAGACTAGCGAGTTAATGATGTCGTATCAACTGCGTGAGGGAACAAGTTTTACCCTTAACAAAAACAAATGAAAGCCGCAAGTGCACAGCTAATCAGCTGTAGTATATATTTAGGGATCGAATCCACAGAGATTTGTGTGCCTGGTATTCTTCTACGGTTTTTAACTTTATGTGTAGACTAGATTGGTTTTAAAGGTTGGTTGTTTGTCACGAATTAAACTGAAACAAAAGAAAGCAAATAAATCTATCCTAGAAAGCAAGTAGAAAAATCGAATGGAAAGCAAGTAAAGCAAGTAAAATATCGAACTAAAGCAATTGAAATGCAGATCTAAATAAGCAAGTAAAAATCGATTGGTTTGTAAACTATGGCTAAAAACGCTGAGCTTTTGGGAACTCTAAGGGATCATAATCGGTTTTGACACTAGGGTAGATAGATTGGGATTGACGGATATCGATATATAGGTGGTTCTAGAGCTAGAGTACGGCGGTATGACTACGTCACTATCGTGATCATAACCAACTGTTTCTCGCAACCCTGACCAGTAGATTTCTACTCTGGCCCTGGAAGGGAGAGAACGCAAGAGCTGCACAAGACTCGTCAATACTCACGATCTCGCCGCAGGTAGGTTTCCACTCCTACGGAAAAATCGCCTGTTTCATTCTAGGGCTGATACTTCATGAAAACTTTCGCAACACTAACTATCTAGATCAGATACTAGGTGATCAATCAAGCATACATGCAATAAGAACAAGAATAAACAGAAAACAGGTCAAAATCTCAGATCTATAAACCTAGATGTCTTAATCGATTATGAGAGCCCATTTCGGGAACCCTAAGCCCAACTCGGGATCTACTCAGACATGGCTGAGGTCGACATCGTCATTGGTTTTAATAAAAGTAATGAAAAACAGTAAAGAAAAGAGATGAAGAAAGCTTCTCTATTGCAGAACTCGGACTTGAACAATCTTCTACATAAAATCGCATAAAAACGGCTAAAGGAAAAGGGTTTCTGTAAAGTATGAAGGGTTCTCTCTAAAAACGACATAA